AAACGTTTATTTAATATAATAAGATTTACTTTTGAAAGAAAAACTGAAGACAAACCATGTTTAGGTTTATTTGTAGGACGTTTGCAGCATAATGGCGGCAGTTCAATCCTGAGAACTGTGTTTGAGCAGCCGACAGTGCACTTTCACTGACAGCCTGTTTCATCACAAATCCAGGGTTTTCTGAACAGTTTACCAAAAATAAAAAATAAATGCATGTGTGTCTATCGCTGCCTTACCACCAAGTCAGGGTCCTGCATGAGGCTCAGGATGACCTCATATAGCAAAGGTCGAAGGTCAGATTTGAACTTGACAGAGATCCACTGTCCTATCAGCCAGATGACTCGTCGACGAATCAACTTGTACCTGGAGAGGAGGAGAGGAGAAATAAGTTCTGGTTGTAGAGAAATATTTTAACAGACCTTTCTGAACTTCTTCAAATCATATATTCATTCACTTTTTCAAAATAAAAAATAAAAAAACACTGTCTGTAAAATTATCTCCACAATGTAGCTACAGGACTAATGGATCCATTAGAAACAACTGGACCAGATATTTCAATGATGATATCTGCACCGACATGACTCGTGACTCAACCTGAAATTTCTTTTATCTGTGGCGTACGCATGCTGAAGACCGCATGTCATTTCTGCTTCGAGGGAGAGACTCATATCACCGTCCCTCTGTTATGCATATCCAACTCCAAGACTGTGTTTAATTTATGCCACATTCTGGCCGTGCACATTTCAGTCTGCATGAGTATATCACCGGAAAAGACAGAGGCAAAGATAGTGACACTACTGCACAGGATATTGAAGACTGGGACCAAGTGATCCTTTCCACATTAAAAACTGACGGAAAAACACGACCCGAGGGACAAAGTGAGAAAATAAACTAGGCGAAGAAAAGGTTTGATGAGACGGAATATACCATGTTTGGATTTGTTTAAATGAATGTCTGTAAACACAACACAAAGCCTGATTCAAGCATCTAAAATGAAATAGCCTGTTAGAAAACTAAAATGATCAAGAAGCCACTGGGGCGAGGTGGTATGTGATATGAATTAAAATGCCCTTTGTCCCAAATGTGAGGCACTGAATGTTGGGAACTGATGGTTTTTCAACAGTTGTAACGGGCAGGCAAGAAGTGTCCCTCGGCATCTGCCCTTGTTTGTATCTGAGGCAAAAATTGTGTCTGAGGACCTCGACAGAGATGAGCGGACGGAGGGATGAAGGATAGAGGGATGACACTCTTGTTGGCTTCTTGTCAAATACCCGCAGGGAGCCAGAGACCAGAGTCTTGGCCACTAGCCAGAGGATACTAAACAACAGCATGACTCAGGACTCAGCAGTTGGCAAACAATAGCATGTGTGTGGATGTGTGTGCATGAGTGTGCGTCTGTGTGGATGTCTTTCTCTGGTTGTGTGGAAAATTTTGTTTTGAAAGCATCACTGTCAGGAGATTTTGGCTGGTCATCACAGCTTCAAATGGTTAATACTTTGTTTTAAGGTTCAGACTGTCCTCACATCTGTGTGTGTGTGTGTGTGTGTGTGTTTGTGCCAATGAGCTCACAGGAAAAGGAAGAGCTGCTTATGAATAAGCAAAATAGCTTTTTTTTGTTAACTGGAAAATTGGTTTGATGGATTTCTCAGTAATTTTCAAATATTCACCAAAGGAGTTTTGAAAACTAAAACTCAAAGCCTGTAAGTAACCATCTCTCACAACATAGTACATTGAGAAATGTCTGATCTTCTGTCCTGTTTGTCAATCAATTTTCAGATCGACTTCAAACTTGTACTAGTATTTTTGAGGATTCTGGGAAAAGAAGTGTCAACTGTGTTTTGGATGAGTAGTCCTTGAGACCCAGACCCCATGTTGTGATGACAATGACTGTTGCAGGCATCAACAGCCACATTTAAAAAAAGCCATAAACAGTTACTATTTCACCTTATATCACATCTTCTATATCAAGATACATAACACTAACCACAATATTTACACAAGTTGTGGGGATCTAGGGATCCAATGAGAAGGAGCAGAATGTGTTGAGCTGAACTCACCTCTAACTTTGCTAAAACGTATTTCCTTGTTCATTATCTGCAAATTGAATGAGGGTATTATTTTCTAACATCTACGAGGTACGTCGAAGTAAGTTTGAATTCTACAAGTTGCTTCAATGGCAACCAAGCTCCATAACTATACAGCGGTCACTGGAAGACTAAGCCCAGCGCCTTCACAGCACACGATCCGACAGATTGCTGTGATCTACCCCCAACTCCACGGCCAGAGTCAGAAATGATCGCCACAGATTTGAAAGCATCTCTCCTCACTGAGAGAATGTCCACCTGGTATCACATTCATCACACATAAAAGGGGTTTGAGTCATCCTCCAGCGAACATTTGGTTCCGCTCCAGCCCTTTGCTGCACGTTTTCCCCCACTTCCCCTCCCAATTTCAAGCTTGTATCATCCTATCAATAAAGACAGAATACTCCCAAAAATATATCTTAAGAGAAAGAAATTCTGTGAAATGAATAAAATAATGTTCTCTAAATATAAGACCAGACTCTCGAATTAAAGAAACCCCGTAAGCATCAACGCAAACGCATTGCAGCAGTGAGAGAGAGGGGCCCCCGCCCCTCGCAAACAGGCTCCCAGAAAGAGAGATCTCCAGATGAATGTCTTAATCCCAAACAGGGTTGGGGAGATAAAATGTGCAGGATAACTTATGTAACAATAACCTATTTTCGTAGCATCAGAGGGTGTTGGAACTAGTCTTTAATTTAGCCCCAGGACCTGTTTATAATACTCCTCTCTACTTGTGCGACACATCAGTGTAGTGTATTAAATTAATGGTGTTAACACCCAGTGAAAAACAGCGTGAGTCACAATGGAAGCAGATTTAAAAGAAGCATAAGTTTATAGAGTTACAGCAAAAAATGGGGGAAACCTTAAAGATGTGGAACTCACACTGGTAAAATGAAGCAGTTTTGGGTCATGAACCCAAATTTACCCAATTTATAAAAAAAAGTCAAGGGTGGCGTATCATAACCTCAACCAAACCTGTGTGATCATTCCAATCTATGTTCAGAGCTTAAAGCCAACAAAACCTGTCTGCAGGGCAAATACATGAAGGATATAAAGGAAAATCAAGCTCAAAAGAACCAAAAGACATCATAATTTTACAGTAAAGCCAGTTCTGCTAGAAAGATTGGATACACTCTGTATGTGTCCATTCCTTCATTTAGTGTGTGTGCAGGTGTGTAAACGTCTTCAAAGATGACACAGTCATCTCAGCGTTCTCAGACACGACAACTCGTCACAGGCATAACTGTTTTGGATTGAGGCAGCGAGAGGAGGAAAATATTGTCAGCAAGTCAGAATCTGAGTATGCGTGCAGATAAGTGCTCAAGTATGAAGGTGCACAGGATGTGTGTAGAGAAATCTTTGACCAAAAGTGACAACCAGCTTTTGGGGGATTACAAGCGGCACAAAGTTCTGCCACAGGTTAGAGTCCCACAATAGTTCTGCTGACGGATATAGTTGTTCAAATTTAGACTGTTGCTGCACCATATCCTATGATACAGATTAGTGCAGGGCTAAAACTAACATTGGTGATTCACCTCCATGACTTCCATTGCAGTTACAGAATGTGCAAACCTAGAGGTGCTATCACTTGCAGAACAAAATGTAATTTATCCTGTGATTAAATGTTTCTTGTTCACTATTATTCATAGTAATTATAAATTATGATTATAATAAATTATTTCGATTATGCTTTTCTCGTGATGAGTTAATAATGCATGTTTTCATCATGAGGTAACTTGTAACTAAATGATTTCAACCTAAAATGACACCATCTATGAGAAAAATGTAATTTTACTTTTTAGTTTTGTCATGTCGTCCATCCTTATCTAGTCTATGGTCATAACATGCCATGTTTGGACAAACATTTTATTTGCAACACATTTTTAAATCATAACCAATATTTTTTTAAATCAATAACTGTGTCATCTCACAGAAATGTATCATCGTGCTTTGTTCAAGTGAGAAACAATGAAAAAAATCACAAAATGTCCAGGAAATGGCTTAGAGCCAAAATTGATGAGCACGATCAGAATAAATCAAATCTGAATGTTTCGCTGCCCCAAGAACACAGCATGTTAACTGGCAGAGACAAATTGTGAGCTGGGGAGATGGAAATCCTGCAGGTGTGAGAGCAGGTGTGTGCGAATTTCTGTTCCAAACCCCCAGAGTCTGTCGAAGAAAATGTGAATTTAGCTGCTCTTAAGAAAAAGGCTTCACTTTTAGATCTTTTTTCTATTTTTTATGTTTAATTCTACCTCTCATGTTTTGCAAAACGTTGTCAATGTTAAGCGTTTTATTGTTCACCTCAATGTGCATCGTGGTCCACATAAGCAAGCTGCATGAGCCAATACCCTGAGGCAGGCAGGACAGCATGGTGTGGGGATGCTCTGGTACCGGCAACAAACACGTAGCGGGCAAGTGTGTCAACCAGAAACTCTAGAAGTGGCGTCTGGAAGAAACCAATATGTACTGCCGGCCTCTTCTGACATACTTTGTAAGTTTATGAAATCTCTCAGCCTCACAACTTTCACTGCATTGCAAAACTAAATCAGATCAGAGTCCACTGGGAGTAGGCTTAGATAAAATCTATATCTTTTAAGTAGTATTGATAGTGGTTGAATGGAAACCTGTTTTGGATATTTGTCCTTGGAGTCTGAAAACTTGATCCTAACACAAATATATTTTTGCCCCCACCTTTATGAGACCTGTGGGCCACATTATAAACTTTAGAAAGTTGAGAGTTAATTTCTTGTATTATGTTTGTTTTTCTGTATTTTTTCCCATGAAAAAAATCTATTTCAGATACACTATTTAATCTAACATCTGCTTCTTACATTACTATATAGAAGGTTGTGCATGTGTATGTGCTAACCTGTTGGCAATGACAGCAATAATGCAACAGCAATGTAATGGCTCTGGAAAAACAATTCCCAAGACACAAAAGAAAATTATTAATATAAAGTAAACAGAGCAGACAAACAAAGGCACACATTCGGGCACTAAACACAAAACATATACACCTTAACATGAACGTTACAGCCACTTCCCAACCAGACTATGGTGACTATGTAAGGAAAACAAAACTAACCATCATCAAGGGCACTTCTTTGTCTCTCCCATCACTCACATCACCTCGCCTCTGGCCACTCACTTTTCGAATGCATTAATCTGTCACCTCGCTGTTTGTTGTTACTTCGGCTGACTTTGTAACATTGACAAGGTTCCATCTCAGTTTTTTCCAGGGTTTGTCTACTTTTATTCGTCTGTTGAGAGTTGATGTTTTGACACCGATTAAAAATTCACATTGTTGTTGGGACAAGTAAGTGAGACCTTGGATTTATTCATTGATCAAACAGTATTACTAGACCGCATTGTGTTCAGAGGGAACTTTGCCAGTCTCCCCACAGAACTAGTTCAACTCATATTTTTCAGCTGATAATTCCACAGCATGTCTACTGGGTCAAGCTCTGGCCTCTGACTTGGTCACTCTGCAATCATTTTCAGTTTGAAGTCCATCTGCTGCTTTGATGTTTGGTGTAATCGTCCTTCTGTTTCACCTCATTTGGTGGAAAACGACCCTGAACTTATTCTCTAAGATCCCATCATACACTTCAAAGTCCAGACGCAGCACAGCAGTCCCAAATTATGATGGTGCCTCCACTTTTCTTCACCACTGGGAAGGTGTTTTCAACTTGGGCACACGAAGTTGTGTTTGTATTTCTTACACCAGATGAAGCAAAGGTTGTTTTTCCCCAAAAAGCAAACTTTGTTTCATGAATCCACAAATATGAACTGATCAATATCTAAACTCTATGATAGGACTGAAGCTGCATCAACAATTCTTGTTTACTGAGATCTTTTTGCGAGGCACGATTCACATCAGCTGCTTGCTGCCTGCTTCTTGTGGTATTAATATATTTGTTTTTTTATAAGTCAAGTAGCTCTAAACCCCACCTCCTTGTTTTTTGACCTAACTACAGGTTTTATAACTCTTGACTCCAGTTACCTCTTGTCAATGGCATTGGGCAGTTGTGCAAAGCACTGGCATGTGCGTGGTTAGCTTTGATACCCAGACACTACAGGTTCCCTGCTGAGTCTCTGCCTCGATGTGTGACAGCTCTTTCAAATGTTGGCTACAGTGGTCACACTTCCTTTGTGCCAGAGGGAGATAGTATACGATATATTGACATATTCCACTGGGATCTTAGAGGGAGATACTAAATTGTGACAGGACGTAAAACACAACATGACAACAGGGTCATTTGGGCAAAGGTATATAACACAAGTCTGACCATTATTCACGTGCACAGACACTAGCAGACACACTGATGGGACACAGCCTGATTCAGCACCCCAGAAAAAAATAAATCAATGGGCTTGAAAAGTTCATCTGCTTTCCTTCACTTGAATAAACATTTAAAAAAATATCCTCTTAGCACAACGCATCGTCATCATATAGTTTTAAAAATGCATTATTTGGCATAAAAAAGGAGAAGGGCAGAGTTATCTTTTCATTATCAACACTTTCACTGAGGAGAGTAAAAACCAACAATGAAGATATTCTGCAAACAGCCATTAACTATGTAGCCACAGGCTGGTATTACTTGTCCCTCAACACAGACTTCATTGTCATCAACACATTTAGAGTTGACCCATTCTTTATCTGTAGTTGGAGGAGTGAAGTGTATTTGTGTGCTTTCGTGCACAAAACACATTGAAATGCATAGCAGAGGCGATCCACACCTTGTGTGTATGTGTTCCAGCCTCGGATTCATAATGAGACATAAATTCTGTTGCACAACATAGACTCGGAACTTTAGATTTGTGCTAAAGATTTACTGTGAAGCTCGATGAAGCCCTTTCTGCTCCCCTGTCAGTCACTCTTACTCGCTTTCTCTCACATATACACACAAACACACTGGCCATCAGCAGCAATGTGAGAAATCCACCTGTGTCGGTTGCCTATTAAATAATGCATAACTTTTTTATAGTCCTCAGCAGGCAGGCATGCTTCAGTATGAACTAAATAGATACAGCTTTTACTGCACACTTTCACACAACAAGCAGGTAGAACTCAGCTTAGTGAGGTTAAAGTAAAGCAACAGAGCTGGTTGAATCTTATTCTGTTCATCCACCAAAGTCCTGGGGTGACATCCAAGTCATTTAGGTTAAGTGTTTCTTTATCAGTACCCGAGGGTAACAATGTTTTACCATGTATAGAACAAAGAAATAAGAACGCAGGTAAAAGTGGAGGTACTGTGACATCAGCAGGCCTGCTCTTTGACGTCAGCAACAAAAATGTTGCTGAACTTTGAAGTGCTGCAGGTTTTTTATCTTGATTGACTCGAGGTCTGTGTGTGCAGGGCACTTCTTTGTTCCTCCTATTACTCACATCACCTCGCCTCTGGCCACTCTCCATCTTTCCCATCGCTTTTTCGAATGCATTAATCTATCACCTCGCTGTTTGTTGTTACTTCGGCTGACTGTTTGTGTACCACTGACAAGGTTCCATCGCAGTTTTTGCCAGGGTTTGTCTACTTTTATTCGTCTGTTGAGAGCTGATGTTATGACAACTTTGACCTCTGCTTGTAAAAAGTAATTGTGTAATACAAGCAGTACCGGTTAATGTGAGCGTGACAAACATCGACTCCAAGCATTAGATGGCGATTAATGAGTAATCAATAGCCGGATGGAGGTTAATAGCCAATTAGCTTGACTTACACTGAAAGGAACATTAACTATGCAATGTATCAAATGCCATTAATGTCTGTAAGTGAGCTCACGCAGAGTAAAACTAAATTTCCTTTAAAAAGGACTCCCTAGTTGTGTTAAATAAACTACCACACACAATGAGATAAGTGTAAATTATTGAACACCTGCAATGAAGTTTTACGCAATAACCCTGAAATGAAAACTTCCTTGGGGAAACATACCGCACTCAATTTACATTAAACCTGCGTCAGAGAAGGTGAGTCGACTCTGTGATCAGGCTGTACAGAAAACAGTTTAGGGGCTCTGTTGTGTTGCTGTTGTGTCCAATTAATAATCTATATATACACGTTCAAAGTACATTAATGCTGTGAGGTGGTATGAGGGCACTCTGGGGAACTCTGATTGCCTTACGAAAACTTCACCAAACTTACACAACATCAAAAGCCTCTTCTGATTTGAAAGGAGAACGGGGAAGAAGTTAAGATGCTGAAAATGTCAAAGGAAAAGAATCACTCCCAGTACAATACCTGTGATGGTTGACTTGCAGCTCTCCGAGAAGCTGATTCTTGAACCACTGGTCGAAGTCCACATTGTCAAACAGTTCATAGGCTGCCAGGCCCACTGCGTTGTACACTGCAGGTAAAACAATTCAGAAAGTTAATGTGATTTAGTCAAGATGTTCACAAAGAGATTAAGCTTATTAAACTTATAAAAAGTACAGTACAAGAAAGCAGATAAGTAGTCCAAGTTATGAGATAAATTACAAAAGTCACACAAAAGGCTTCTGGCACAGAAATTATCCGCAGAAGATTAAAACTTATTCACTTCATTGACGACTTTTAAAAAGGGAAATTACTTCATTTTGTCACTGTATCACATCAGTTTTCATTTCACTGTTTGAAATTTGAGTTTTATGTGGTGGTGAAACTTTTTCAAAATGTGTCTCCTGTAACTCTGTCCTGCAAAAATAATTATGAAGCCTAAAAAACAATATAGGAGCAATTTTATCAACAGTACTTATTGCTTATAACAGCAAGTATTATCATTACCAGGAAAAGAAATTGAAAAAAGGTTGATTTATACTTGGTTGAATGTGGTTGAGGTTTTGTAGCAAATACGTTTGTCATTTAGAACCATCTATAACATATGACAACTAGAATGATACTGGATATAGCACATAACTCCAACAAAGGCCATAAAACCCCACACACCTGTCTAGGCTCTATAATAGAAAAGTAAAAGAAAAAAGAAAAGTGATAGTTTGAAACATAAATCTTTGCCTGAGAAATTGGGTGCAAGTGCAAGTTTAGTGTAAATAGGTTAAGTTGCAAAACAAATAAACAAACCGACCGAAAAACAGACACTGGTGTAAAATGGCAGCAGAAAAAAAATGCTTTTTAGTGCATAGTAAGGACCAATGTGAAGGTTCAGGTCTCGAACTCAGTGATGTACAGTAATTAAGAACAGTTTTTATAAAAAGAACACAGAGCCCACTTTGTTTTACAGCAGTACAATCGAGGACTTGGTCTAAAATTGTATTAGTAATGTCATAATTACTGACTCATTTACGTTCTTGAGATAAATGAGCACCTGTGGTTTAATAAGCGTTTTGGCTCTTCAACCAGCTTCAGCTCTCTCAACCACAAATTATCTGCCTTTGCTGCTGCTACACCAGCACAGCTTCATCATCCGGTGATGTCTGCCGTTTTATCAACGCTGTCAGCAGACTGATGAGATCTCTACGGGCATCCCGCTTTAACAGAAGTCCTCTTAGCAGGCAATCCTAACTGGCTTTGATTTAGCTGTGTATGCTGTAAAACCAGCCCCCACCTGTCAAAGGGTTGTAAATACTAAAAGGAGGTAGAGAGCAGGAAAAGAATTGGTCTAAGTAAGAAAAATAGGGTGGAAACAAAATGTCTGTGATCAAAAAAAGATCAAGTGATGAAGAGCAGTATAGCATGGATGCATCATATTGTATCACCTGGAATGTAAATTTAAAATTAAATAAATTTGTGAGACAACTGAGAATGAATAGCTTAGTTTCAAATGACTGTTTTACATTGCGTAGCTCTCCTTATTCAAACCTATACTGTGTCTCAATAGACCCTGTTAACCTTCTGCATTTGTTTGTATTGTTTGGGATTATGGTTACAAAATGCCAACAAAAAAGAAAATCTGAAATTCTTCACATCCTGCATTGAAGATATAATGTCAGCATACTCAGACATGTTTGAGTCCAAATCCTGGCATGACAGAAGATCGGTTGTTGAAGCAACGAGAGAAGAGGAAGGTTTGAACTCACCTGCGTCCTTCATTAGCAGCTGGGCAGGGTCTTCCACATTGGTTGGACCTGGAAAGACACATACAAAAACCGTCAGTCGTCCCACTGCATTTATAGCATAAGTGCTGTAATGTGCAAATGTTTTCAATGATAACAGAAGATTTGTAGGATTTAATGGACCCATTCACTCAATGGTAAATGGACTGTATTTGTATTACGCATTTCTAGTCTGAACGACCACGCTTTACACTATGAGTCATATTCACCCATTCACACAAACATTCAAACAGCACTTTGGATAAAGCACTACTCTATCTTATGTCCCATTCAAACACAGACAGGCAATTCACCAAGGTAAGGGCAATTTGGACAAATAATTTCAGTGTCCAGGGACGCTGAAACACACAGCCACCCCTCCTCACACAAATGCAACTTAAAGAAGGGCTGAGCTCCACTCAGTCAGTCTAGTCTCAGTCATTTTACTGTTCTCCAACTCTATATTAGTCCTTGCTATGTACGAGTCTCAAAATCAATACCTGCTTCCCTTTAAACCCCAAATCACCCAAAGTGGCGCCTTCCTTGCTCCAGCAGAACCCATTTCCCCTAACTCTTATTGAAAGTGAAGGCAGCCTGGAACACAAGCTAGAGGATCTTGTCATCTACACGTTTGAGCAATGGTACTGATAACTAAGCAACAGACAAGAGCTATGGGTTTGTGTGGCTGTGTCTACATGTATGTGACTGACTGATTAGAATCAATATCTCCCTGACTGTGGGGGCTGGACAGTCTAATCTGTCATGTCAGTTTCATAACAATTCAGATTTTTTTTGTATGAAAACAAAAGATCTCTTACTCACTCAATTGTGAATTCTGGAGCGAATCAATGATCAATGATGATTGTTGGTGTTTATTGTTTAAGTGTAAAGTGAGCACCGGTCAGCAGGAGTGTGGAGGGAGGACACTCAGACAGAGACTCTGATATGGTACAAACCAACTGCTCGTTCACTTAAACATGTTTCCTCTATCGTCTCCGCTTCACTTTCTGTTTCTCGCTGTTTAAGTGAGTGGGGGTGGGGCCGGTCCAGGTATTGTGTGTGCGAATGTTAACTCTGCCTCGCGCCCAGAGAAGAGAAAATGAGAAAGAGACCAGTCAAATGCCAGAGGCGCAGGTGCAAGCACAGAAACTTTTAGCCGAACTTCACAGATTATTGGTCACGGACATTCCCCAACCCTGGTCTAAAAGAACAAATGTGAGAACACAATAGGAGACCCTCCGCAGGATTCATCTCGAGTGAGTGGGTGCGTTGATGACGTTTCTAACATGCAACAGAAGCAAAATGAAAACTCAATTAGAATACATATATCTCCAGATGAAAAAAGAGAGCCACGTAGAAGACACTAAAATGCCAAGAGAGTTTTTGGTGATAAGAGCAGACGCCTGTGTCAATGTTGCTTTCACAAAAACATGTGATCTCAGCAGCGGAATTATTACATTATGTCATACCTCTGCACCACCCCTCACCTGAACACTCTGGAGATTTCTGCGCGTAGTGAACGTGTCTAAGCAAATACAGTATCTCTTGCTGCGTATGTGTGAAAGGCAAAACTCAGACGAAATGTCCAGACCCAATATTGCGGACGTCCTCCTTAGTTCATGTCAGAAAATAGCTTTCATTTTTTGCAAGGTTTTACCATTCTGGAGAAGACAGCAGAAGCTCGATCGTTCGGCTTGTTTCAGATACTGTTCTCGGCACCAGACCTTTGTGTCTAACACCTGCCCTCTCTGTGTACCTGTTGGGTGTGCATGAGAGGCTATTGCGTGCATGTTCACTGGGCAATCACAATAATCAACACTCATCTGCCTGACAACCCCATCTTGCAGCTGCCGCCACAGATAGAATCTACTTTTTGTGCAAAAACAGAGAGTTGAGAGCAGTTGGTGGATGTTGTCACACGGGAACTTGAGGGTGCTGCCAAGCAGATTGCATGTTATGCATATATTACTGCTGGAGGCAGCATCAACAAGTCCCCATGCTTTGCTGCTTTCTGATATATGAAATATGTTTCACTTACTCTGAAGCAAACACAGTACATTTCAGGGTAAATAGGGGTTGAGATCTGAAGCATTTTATGGTACAAGGAATGAATAAAGTATAATAAGTCCAAGTGAGTGAAGTTTTATCTGTAGAGTATCTTTCAAAACACAAAGCCAAATCAAAGTACTTTGTAAATGGTGTATAATGCATTAAAAAACATTAAAGATTCCCAAGTAGGATGAAAGAAATAAAATAATACAACAATAAATGTATAATGTATAACAATAAAATACAACTGCACCACAAAATGATCATAAAGCAGAACTTTAAAACTTGTGAACGTGGAAGAGCTGTATGAGACAGCGTTAGTTCTGGTTAGGAGAAAAATTATCAACTGAGTACATCCTTGCATCGAATTGCACCCAAATTAAAGAGTTTGCTTGAAAGAAAGCAGACAGTGCTTTTGGCATGTAATAATATTCAAATTAACATTTAACTCACCCTGGAGATTCTGAACCATTTCCAGCAGTACCGGCGTCATCGTCTGGCTGTAGGTGTGGAAGATATCTAGGAACAATACTTCTGTACAAGGCTACACAGAGGAACAGGAAACAAAAACAAAGGCACTTCATTGACAGAATAGACGTGGCACTCACACATCCTGCCGATGTATCTGAAAGTCATCAAAATCATTCATTTCATTTTGTCAAAGTACAGACAGTTCTCCCCAGTCTTAGCAGCCACTGTGGTTTTTGTTGGGAAAAATATGACATGAATAAGTGATGTCAGTGCATATACAATGCAAACACAATGAAGGATTTGCACAAAAAGGCTTGACAAACAACAAACAATAGCAAATGCACTGAGCTCCTGGTTCAATGTAAATTCAACGTGATAATTTCAGGTTCTATGCATTTGTGCATGCTAAACAAAGAAATGCTAGCCCACCTGCTGACAGCAGTTAATCGGTTTTACTGTGACAAAAAACATAAATGTTAAATAAAGATACAACAAATGTAACAACATGGGATGAGCCAATGATAACATTCTGTGGGCAACAGTATATATATATATATATATATATATATATATATATGGCTGGGTCTATGGCATTTGACAGCACGTACAACCTTTCCACCTCGATGGCAGAAGGTCAGAGGTTGATGAGATCAGGACAGACACAAAACCCTTGTTCAGTTGGGAAAATATAGACAGGTGGTATTGAGTATTGATCTCGAGGCAGCAATTAGAATTGGTGACCATGGAAGCAATAGATTGACAGTGACATTTGATCCATGAACCATCCTGAGCATAAATATGTGCCGATAAATAAGTGTGGAATTAAGGTTTTCAAAGATACAGGCAGTATGTGAGTTTTCAGATGCTGTATAAGTACTAAATATAAGTAAATATTAGCCTCAGTAACCTACACAGTTAACCCTTTCTACTTGGATCCACATAAATGTTGATGTTCTTAACTCTTAAATTGAATCACTTCTAATGAGGCAGATGTTTATATTGGTGGTTTAAGTGTTTAATGAAACTCCAACACTGACCTCAAAGAGAAAGTAGAAAAAAAGCTCAGTGTTTCTATCAGTAATTAGCCAACTAAAAATCAACTCTCGTAGACAGTAATGACGCCTTTCTTTTGCTGCACTGAGCTTTTAAATGAATAACATTTACAAGAAGACCTTGATGTCAAATGCAAGAATGCTTTAGTGCACTTCAAAGAAACGACAAGGTACAAGTTTGTCATCTGAATTGGGCTTAACAGGGGAGCAGGAAGGGAAGAGAGAGGAAGGGTACACAACGAACAAAATGAATTAGACGGTGGATAAGAAATGACATCGTGACTGAAGATAAGCCTTGGCCAACCAACAACACACAGCCACAGGGACAAGCGCTGAAATGTAAACGATGCTGCTCAGAGCCACCACATCAAAAATTGCTTTAGATTTTGAAAATACAGCATACAATGAAACATTGCAATTAGGATGGCTGTTTTTTGTTTTTGTGTAACAAACGTTAAACTGTGTTGTTTGGTTTTACTCAGAAACCCCAGGGGAAAGTTAGTCTTTTTCAAGACTAGATGTATTTTTGATTGTGTATTTCTTTTGCTTATTTTGATAGGTGTGTGTGNTGTGTGTGTGTGTGTGTGTGTGTGTATGTACTTACTCGTAGACTGTACTTCCATGAGTCGCCACCTGTTTCTTCAACAGCTGGAAAATGATGACAAATGGTTTTGTATCAGGAAATGTTGGTTTGGACTTTGTGGCTGACTGTTCATCTTGTCTGGGCAGTGTCAGTACAAATGTATGTTTGCACACTTGTGTGTGATTTTGTCTGAAGCAAAACACAAAAGGCAAACTAAATGCAATGTCAGTTCAATGCTCAACTTAAGAACTGGACTCTTATGATCTCAGCTTTACAAAATATTGTGTTCGGTTGCTCCTACATTTGCTCGTCTTCCACAGTCATAGGATCTCAATCGCTACAGTGGGTTCAACTAACACCAATATCTTTACCCTTTAATCTATTTCACTGAGAACTTTTCGAGGGGGAATTCACCGCAGCAGTTAAAAAAACAGAGTTTTGCTGCTTTACATACAGTAAATATCAGCTTCTAACAACAATAATAAAATGCTGTGTTACCTAAAAACACCAAAGCAATGACTAATTGTTCAACACCTAACCCTCCAGCATCAACACACCACTACTAAAGGAATATATTAATAAATTAAAAATAACTTCGGCTGATGTCTGCGCCTGAAGCTAAATTGCTGACTTCATGAACTGTAGAGCTGGCTAACCCCTCACAGACTTCCAGAGAAGATGGCTGCACGGCTAGTCTGCAAGTCAAGATAAGCCCGGACATTTGGATTCAGTCTGTGTATCTGGGAATGTGTTATTACCAAAGCTCTCAGGGTCCTCTTCCCACATTGCCAGCTCTTCCTCAGTGAGAAGGAAGTAGTGTGAGACGAGCCGGCGTCCAATCTCTGTCAGTGTGGGGTGTGTGAAGAATGCTGTCTTGATCTTGTGAGCCTCCAGACTCTCTGGTTTACTGTCTGAAGGAGGGAAGGAAGAAGGCATGAGTGGCAATGAAAGGAAGGGAAACATGTATAATTGTTTCAAATAATCCACATTTGCATTGCATTTGGTATAAAGGACTTTACTAAAAGTAGACAGAATATTCAAATAACTTGTTAAGTAAAAAAACACGTATGCAAAAGCTTTCAACGCACCTGCACCGTAACACTTCGTTTCGACAGGCATGGCCACCGCATTATTCAACATAATAAAAATCAGGCCTTAAATGACTCATCCTATACTTTTGGTATAGGAAAAATAGTTATCTCTCCCCTTGACTACTTCCTGGTCTCCTGCCTCCTATTGAACTGATTTAGCATTTAATTCAACATCTCCTACTGTGCTGAGGCTTTAAATGTATCCCTCAATTGTAAGTCATCTGTGTCAGCCACATGAGTAACTGTCACGTAACAAATGGTGAAAAAAATAGCAGGGAGCAGTTTAAGTGCGAGTCATTACCTTTGTGTATGTCAACTTTAACACTTCACTAAATTTCACCTATGTTTGCAGAGAAAAATCTCTCTTCAGATCTTGATTCTGAGAAAATATATATTTTTTAAACATTTGGATTTTTGGACAAAAATCATTAAGCAGGAAAAATAATCACATATAAAGGAAACAGGAAAATGAGAAAACCAATATCCAACTGACTGTTTACTTCATTCACACAATTAAAAGTGCACTTTAACTGTGACCTCTGACTCCCAACACCTCTAACAGTGCAGCACTAAGGACACTCATCTGACTCAAAATGAAAAGATCAAGAAATAAATAAGTGAACTGGCTGCAGGCCCAGTAAATAAATCAGATGGCAGCCCTGAGTTAAGTGTCAGTCAAAGCTCTACTGTATGTAGCCTTGCTACTCTAAATATTCAGTTTTTAAGTCTGGTAATAAGAAAAGGGAAAACAAACCCGGAGTCATGTCTCACACTTTGGAAATTAAACCAATGTATTAACACAACCACAAAAATATGTCTGTTATTTGTCAACTAACAATTGCTTAGGAGAAGGAAATCTTCAACGAAACACATAAGACCAAGACTAGACTGGCAGAACAAAGCCTGAGTGCTGCACTCCACAGCTAATGAAGCACTAGAGGCCTGTTTCAGCTTGAAATAAACATGAGCTGTGGTGAGACACAGTGATGTTGGTGGTATTACAGTGTTTTGCTTTTCAAAACACCATCAGTGATCAGCTTTGAAGAGCTTTGGCCTCTGAGTCATAGACCTAAAATTCATATTTTGTTGTCTGGTCTTCACTTAAATTTTCTGTCAGCACGCACTTGTCTGCCATGTCTTTTTTTTCATCCCTTGTATTATCATTTCATTAACTTGCTTCCCTCCATCTCAAAGACCTCATATCCTACCCTCTATGTTCTTGGCAGGTTTGTAAGCATCGTTCTTTACAATCAACTTGATGAGGTTCATGCACTGGACGATGAAGCGTTCAAAGGTGACTCCCTCCCCTGCAGGTGTGAACACGTAGCTGACGGCAAATTCCAGGGAGCGCTGGATCAGAGGTATGAATGGGCATGGATGATACTCCAAGAAGTCTAACAACTGTATGGAAAGTTACGACACGAGAACAAACAAAGGTAGAGGAAAAGAGAAGAAGGAGATTAGTTAGTCCGGATAATCATTGATCTAAGATATTCAACATTTTCTTTAATAATCAAAAAGACATTTGGATTTCATGGATTTAACGATCAACTCACAACTTTAGTGTATAATATGATTGTCTTCTCCAATTTTTCTCTGCATGTGCTATCTGGACCAACTTGTCGACCTGAAACACAAAACACAAAGCACAGTTTACATATAACATCCCCCAACACTTAGCATGAATTTGTAAAGAAGGTCCATACAGCAGTATTTTTAAATCCAAGTAATTCAATTCATTATTAATGTAATATAATAAAGTGTAAATACAATAATAGGGTGATGTATTTCGTCTAAATATTTTATTTTAGATCCAGTGCAAATAAACAGAAATTACTCTTGAACCTATCTTTACTGACCTAAAGGAATAGTGCAGTTGGATTCTGCTGCAACACTGTTTACCACTGAGACTCCTAAAGTGTTTAGTGGACTCAAACACTTTACCACCTTTAACATAGTAACAGTGTTCTCCAACAATGACTGCATCAATTGTTGATAATAAGATCTTATAATGAGTCGTAAGTAATTTGCAAGGAGAAAATGTTTAAAACAAAAACTGGGAGATAAAGAAAACTTTGCACCAAGGATTTATTTACAGCAAAAAACTTTAAAGGTCAAACACTGACTCCACCCGTCTTCCTTGTGAGCCTCCAATGAGCCCATTACAAACTTTGGGGTGCATAAAAAGTACCGTAATAAAAACATTTTTTATAAAGTGACCATGACTCACTCCCTCTAATGTATATTTTGGCTCCATAAAACTGCTCTGATGCTACAGCCAGTAAAATATGTCCCATGTAGTTAACTTCGTTGTCAACTCTCATTGTTGAAATCAGCAGAGACAATAACAGTCACTGGCATTGCTCCAATAACTTGTGAAGAGCCAGGGTCATCGTATTTCTCCTCTTATACACACACACAGATTTACTGTATTTCAGCTACCCTTCATCTACAGTGACACACAATTAAATTAAAAAATTAACTGGCTCAAAGAGTACTTTGTCTTGCTTCTTTCAGATTTTGTACAGATAGGGGCATTGTGCAGATCAAAAACACTGTTGCGTTTTATTGACTTTGTGTCTGTGCCATTGTTTCCTTGTTTGCAGGTGTGTGACAGCTGGTAATGTAAGTCGATGTGTAAAGGATTCAAAGTCACTGAGGTCAGGTTTGAACCACCAGCAGCCAATAAAACACAGATATTGTTAAAGAACAGGAGAACAGAAGAACAGAAAAACAGAAAAACACTCAAATAAGAGGAGGATTCTATATTTCTGACATATGTAGCCTAGCAAGAAACGATATGACCGGCAAAAAACGGACAGGTAACCTCAGATGGAGGATTAACATCAACCGGGGGGGGTTGAAGGGTCTGAAGGGACCACAGAGACCTTTCCAAAAAACACAGTTTACAAAGCCAACCTTATCAGGCTGAGCACAGCTGATATTTCTAACCAGACCGGCCTTGACCGAGCTGTTTCCCCTATCTGCCCGGCCCAAATACCAGCAGGACCCGGCCCTGTCTCCAATGCCATCAGCAGAATAAATATTAGGAATGATAGTTGCCGCTGATATCTCAAATTATGTTTTTTTGCGAAGATGCGCCAATATGACAGCCAGAGGTGCCGAGTCTGAGATTTATCTCTCTTACTGGACATTATTATGACCAACCTGTATGGAAGAGGAGGAAGGATCATTGATGGTGAGATCACACAGTGAACATGAGCTAAATAAGCTGCCACTGACGTGGGTGGCGGCCGCTCAAAGGGTGTTAATCATTGGGGTGTGTTCAATTCAGGAAATTTCTAAGGAGAAGCCGTGAGTGAATGAGAGATGGGGAGCAGCACATCACTATTTGTTTGATTGTGGTTAAATACTAAAGATGAAATAAGTGGCAATGTTTAGAATGTCTATTTATTTGAGACAGACACGAGACTGATAAGAAAAGGAACTGTTACTCCCTCAGTATTTTGTGCAGCCAATCCAATGATTCTTTAAGCTTATAATCCTTTTCCCTCTTATAGTAATTGTTAAGATTACTTTTATCTTGCCGCTTTAAGTTTCCCCGTCTATCATGCCGTTTTACGAGTTGGGCACTGTGACTGAAAGCCAGTTATCAAGATTCAGCTGGAGGCAGGGACAGCAGGCTCTGACATTGTCCTGCAGTGAACCTGGATGACGCAGCCAAAGCCAGCCGGGGTATTTTAGCCTGAATTTGACAATCCACATTTATTGGTGAGTTTTTAAACCAAGGTGCAGTAGTTGACTGAGCAGTAGTTACCACTCAAAAGTGTGTGAAAATAGAGTATTGCCAGATTCCATCTCCTTAAGAATAAACCCCTCTTTCATTTCCCTTAACTTTGCTCCTTGGGCAAGTGCAGAAGGACATGGCATCCACACTCAATAATCAAAAAGCCCAGCACACAGTTGATAAAAAAAAGAACATAAAACATTTAAAGTGAGTATTAGTAGAGGGGCATTCCTTTCAAAGCAAGATGCTGTGCAGGGACTTGACACATAAACCACTGGAATACCAACGTTTTGTTGCTTAGATATTAGTTTCACACCTACTTGTGCAAGTGTTGTTTTGTTTTTTGTTTGTTTAAGTGTTCATAGTCTCTCCGCTTTCCTTCCATTTTTAGGGGGGGTGTATGTATGGAACTATTTGCATAATTTTGATAGTGTACATCATTCATAAGTCATTATCACAATGTAAGTTGACTTTGGAAAGATAACCAATAAAACCTTAAATGACCCAAAAAAAAATCAGATTTCCTGGTATCATTAACTTGCTCTCTCTCTCAAAATTACAAAGATTCTCATTTGTTGAGTCAGACTCGTACTTTTAAATAATAGCTCAGTGAGCATGACTTATGTATAGACGTCTTCTTTATTCTAATGGTATACAAGAGAAATCTTCAATTAAAAACTGAACCCGTAAGGGATAACTCAGCCTCAACTTTTAATTTGGACACCTGCATTATACTGTGCTGTTATGAGACCTGGATTTTGAGTGTCATAAAGTATCTAAGGTTTTTTAATTAGCTGCCTTCTGCATGCATCAGATCAAGCAGCAGTAACTGAGAGTCTTCACTAAAGGAAGAAGCTGAGGATCACAGATTCAGGACAGAGAATGAGACAAGTACTCACAGCATTCCAGGAACTGTTTTAGCCTTTCAAACACTGCATTCAGGAAACCCTGAAAAGGAAGAGATGAAGAGAGGATGAGATAAAATTTAATCTCCGACACTTCCGCAGTTGAATCCCTCATGATTGCTTCATCAGTATTGCCCAGGAGCAGAAAAATTATCAAGGGAATAAGTTCAGGATATGCGTATGCGTGCGTGGGCACACGTACATGTTTGTCCCTGTATTGGGGAGTATAAATAAAAGGTATTCAGCTTTTCTGTAGCCTGGTGTAGCTGTGGGAGCATGGGGAATTCGATGATGGACAGAGATGCAATCTGTTAAGTTCTGCATTAATGTTAAGCCATGAAGTCAACAGCAGTGTCATTAATCACACATTCAGCCAACACAGCCAAGCGAGCTACAGTAGCTCCAAACAGAGGTGCAGTGAAGAAAGAGAAGGTCAAAAGAGGACAGGAGAGAGGGTGGAAGAGTGACGGAGAACTGGGTTCATGACAGACATTAGTTGCGCTATTTGAGGGGAGTTTAGAAAAAGAGGGGGAGGCAGGGTGGATGAAAAAAATGCCTAAATAGAGAATATAGGATGGCACAGAGTCATGAGAAGGTTTGACAACTGAAGAGGAAGAGGAGTGAGGCTCATAGAGCACTGACGGGGAAAATACACATGGATGAAGTAAAAAGAAAAAGATGGTTATATATAGATGGCAAAATGACGGCAGTGGTGACCATCATGTCATCACCATTGAGGCCATAATGTTCAACATAATCAAAATTTGTATTTTCATTCATCAGACATTTGTTATTCAGCAATTGGGTGAATTAGAAAACAGTAAATGCATCATGTAAATTTCAATCACATTATCCCCGTCTGACTCACCTAACCCTTCCCCTTTGACAATAATTAACTCTCTCTCCGTTTAATTTCTTCCATGTCATGGAGACTGAGAGTCAGACGAATGCATTTTGAAGTGAAAACTTTTCAGAAAAAAACCCTGCTAATCCAGAGGCCCTGGGACTCCACTGTGCGTAGACGTAGAGAGAAAACAGGAACCAAAACAAAATAACTGAAGTAAGATATGAAATCATTCCGAGATAAGGAAATAACTGGATGTCGATGCACAGTGGCATGATGTCGCTTTCTGTGCAGCAAACAAAGAGATAAGAGGATGTCACAATAATTTTCTGGTTTAAATGATGATAACACATGCTGCGATATAAATCTCAACAAGTTAACGTGATTTAATTTAAAAATATTATGAAGTATAGCCATGACTTGACTGGTGGGAAAGGAAATAGTTTCACAGTAAGCATATTTCTTTGTTTGCTCACCGTAAGCTGAATAATATAAGGATGAAAAATGGTATCGACCAGCGAAGGCTGTAAGCAGCGAGTCTGATATATTAACAGCTTATAAATCTAAACATGAAATATTAACTCCAAACCATTACATGTACTTGCTGAGCTGGAATAACAAGTCACAGCTCAAGGCAAATTATGTTTTAATGCCAGTGTTTTAACCATAACACAACCTTCAGCCTGCAAGCAAAAAGTTGTCTCATTAGAGCAATTATAGAGCATCCAAGTCTTTCTGTCATTAAATGTGCTCGCCATCTCCTGTTTCTCAGACAGAAAAAAAAATGGAACAGAAAAGAAACAGGAGCAAATACTAGGATGGCAATAGAGACACAGGCAGAGAGAAAGGGATGTTAATGACGTGTTGACCTCCTGCGACTACATCAAGTGAATCTCAAGGCCACTTGAGGCCAAAGACCATTTAGAGTTGTCTATTTGGCAACTGACATTTATTTTCATTCATCAATTGTTGTGTATAAATTGATTTTAACTCAGACTATTAATTAAAAAACAATTGAATAATAAATCATACAAAGCAATGCTGCCACAATGTTTTCAGTTTTATATCCTGAAGGATACTTCAAGTCATACTTTCAAAGTTACTTTAACTTTTTCCCCTGTTACTCTCTAAAATGTTTGCAGCCATTTCTTTCTCGAAAACCTTCACTGAGAAAACAGGAAGTCGTCACGATGCAGCTTAGGAGGATTTGGACATTTCGCGTAAATGACTCCATTAACTCTGAGCCACGAGGACCCGAAACTCCTTCACAGGCACGCAGCTAAAAAAAACTTTTACCAGAAAGATTTAGACTGAACTGAATTAACAGTTTCATGGATTTGGACTTTGGAAGAGCTCCTATAGAACTCTTGACTCTTTGAACCAAGACAAGGCTTAAGGCACTTTCAATCATCACAGCCATCCATATTTCTCACACTGTGATTGGTATAATTTTTAACTCAAACGAGAAAAAAACATTACTTTCAACAAAATATGAGCAACAACAGCAGAAATCACTCACCATCACTTCCATATTCTGTTGTGGCTCTTGAAATCCGTGGACTGTCAACTTGCGTAGAACTGAAAGAGGCAGGTGGAAAAAATAAATCCATAATTGAAGTTTGACAATAAACTTTAATGAGTGTTTCACAAAATATCAGCACAAATTAATATTTCCATAACACAATCATTTCATTACTTGTCCATTTAATGAGGCTAGTGAGCTGGTCGGCTGTAAAAAGCGATTACCCAGGGCCGACTGCTGACGCCCGACAGCAGACTGCTGAAGTGACCCTGCTGAACAATGCCGTTTAAAAATGAACTATTACTGTATCGAGGGCATCAACAGGCAGTGTTGCCATCTTAACGTCATTGTCAAAAGGGTGGAGGGGTTAGCTACAAAAGAAATTTTGAGTAATAGACTTATTCATAATGGTCTTGTTTTGAAATTATGAGCAGGATTTGGTTCATGTCCACTGAAAATATCTGTTTACAATGATTCCACAACACTCCTCAATTTTTAACACGAACAAACAAGGCCCGGCATATACCAGGGTTTGACCTGGTCTTATAGTAGAATATTGTAGTAGAATATTGTGCTGAAAATCGAAATAGAGCTGAAATTTTTTTTTGCAAGATGCAGACAGTTATTAAAGGACCTTTTTGTACAGAAAGATCAACCTTTGAGTGCAAATGCAGTTTCAGTGTGTGTGTTTGTCTGTTTGGCCACGTGTAAGTTTGCGTTTGTGCAGACGTCACTACCTTTAAGAGAGAGAAGCGTCCTCTCCAGTGAGCTGAGCGCTGCAGCCTCATCTCTGGCATAGATCTGTTGGAGGAAGCAGTCGGTGTGATGGCTCCACAGGGAACAGGCGAAGTTGTAGATGCCCGACGCCAGCTGCACACAAACAACATACAGTGGATCAGTGGTCACGTTTAGCAACAGGCATCTGAAGTCCCTCTGGTACACACATGAGTTTTATCACACATGAATGTACACACCAGACGTACGCCCAGAGTATGAGAGCAAAGACTTACAGCCAGTTCCATTGACAACCATGCTAATACAAAAGCACTTACACATAATGCACTTATATAAAATCAACAACACACAGGGAGCTGAGAGGGACATCTGAGTCACAGGTCTCATTTAGCTCTGATTGAACTTCATATTACAGTCTGTGCCATGAAATTATTTAGCCTCAAAACAATCCCGTCTTTTAAAAGGCAGAGGGAAAACAAGATCATCAAAAGGTAGACAAAAGTGCTCTCAGTCCCATCAGCTTTGTAGTAACATAGTCTGACCCAGTATCTCAGAAAATATAACAAATCTGCCACGGAACAATAATAGACTGTTTTCATAAAAAGAACCAACAGAAGAGAAAATGGGTAAACATTGCATCTCTAACTATTCAAACACAGAGGCTACATTTCAGTGTAACTACACTCAGATATTCTGACAATCGTTTAATGAAATGTTTGCTAATTAAGATAAACACCCACATGAAAATTGCTGTTCGGAAAGTTTCAATGGTAACACGGTGTCACAAACATCAACCGAACAACTCAGACAAGTTTGTTGAGGGCAACACTGATGTGTTGAGGAAGAACCAGTGGTTAGTGGCACATGCCTGCTGAAAAGAGAAATCCCTGTTTTGACAGCACAGCATTGGCTTTGATAGATTCTACACAGAAAAGTGCAATGCTGGCAACTTTCCTCTTTGGAGAGCTTTCTCTGAGAGCTTACCACTTTCTATTCCTCAGATCCCAAACTAATCCAAAGCATGGAATCTAAAAGTGATGAAGCAAGTTTGGGAAATGCTGCTTTACAGAACTAAACCAAGAACATATATATATATATATATATATATATATATATAATTACCATATATACACTACATAACTATCAAATGCACAAACATTAAATGGGGAAATGAAAAACATTCAGTCACAGACTAAAACTAAAATGGCACTCAGTTCAGTCCACTTATGAAACCAAATTTGAAATCACGAGATCCAGATTTCTTTTGGACCTGCATCAAATTGAACACACTCATAAATATCAGTGCACACATTGTTTTCATCAAGATCCATGAATTATTCTTGCTCGTAACGATAAAGAAAGTGAAAACAATATTCAGGATCTAAACCAACATTGAATTAGGTCTTTCCTGATGACAGCAAGTGTTGGTATGAAAAAAACAAAAGGGATAATAACACAATAAAGTCTAATTCATGCTCAATGTTAGATACGCGTACAGAAACGTACAGTGGCTTCCGTCCATACTCATTCATTTCATCCGTATAACAGACTAAACTGAGCAGTACCACAGGAAATTATGGGGCATGGTTAATAGTTTAAGCGAGATGGGTTGGCTGGGACAATGGCGAGACTTTGTGGGTTGGTAAGAAACTAAAGACATCTATGTAATGTTATTTCACATGGGCTCAGGGCAAAACAGCTGCTTATGTATTTTTCTTAAGAGGCACGTTCTCAAACATTCCTCCAACTTAGCAATGTTTGTTATTGTCAGAGACTCAACTCTGAGCTGCTGTCCAGTGGATGTATTGCTTAACAACCAATGCCAACGTGAAGGATGCATGGAAGTATATGGGCAGTGACAGCTACATTATTTGAAATGGACACATCTCTTAACAGAGCTAAATGCAGCATGAACGAGCCTTAAGGGGTCTTTTTCAAACACATGAAAAATACTTGCTCAGCATGGGGTACAACTGCAGCTTCTCACTGACAGGAAATGTATTGAGCCAGACTATGCTCCCTGCTATGACCCTGGTGGCCCGCTGCACTCAAAGGAGTTAGGAAACATCACAAAACCTGGGACGTAACCCTTCGCCACATAACAGCCTGAGCCCCCTGACAACAGACTACATCACCATAATAAAAACACGTCTTCATAACAGTGGTCTTACAGCTGCAGTCAACTCTCCTGATAACTCACAACGTGTCAACTAATTCTCCAATTTCATTTAATTTGTGCTACGGTATAAAACAGGGAAAAGCAGTTGGTGACTTCCTGAGTTTAAGTGACTTGCGGCTAAATCATTCAAGAGAGAATTCCGATGCATCTAAGATTCAATTATTTTTCCCACAGTGGTGGTGTGTTTTGTTGTTTGAAAAGCTACGCAGCTGCCAGATCATTGTGTATTTGTTTATGCATGTCTTTGTTTGTGTGCATTTAAAAAAGCAAACACTGTCTTCCACGTTCACACTGATTCTCTATTCAAGCAGATGAACAAATTCTTTGCTGTAACCCGCACATTCACTTGCCTATTTATTAGCTACACCCAGATAAAATTAATTCAATACTAGAACTGCACTCAATAGACACATACCTCCACCAAGGACCCATAGTCCCCTGAAATTAAAACAAGCTTTATAGCTGAGGCCACATTAGGTTTCTCTGCTACACATTAGTGGTGGTTACAGGTTTCAAGCTCTATTTGTTACCGTACAGCAGCTGAAAAAAGGCTGTTAAACTTAAACCCACCAGGTTTTTATTTGGATCTGCATCACACCAATGAATACCAACCTCCTAAATATTTCTGAAATTTCAAGAAAGATTCAAATACTAGACAGAAATGTTGAATAATACACTATCTTGCAATGTGGTAGAATGGGAAAAATAATTCTGGATCTGCACCAAAATGTTGTTTAAAGGAATAGTAATAATAACCTCCTTTGCAGAGGTTAAACAGCAGGCCTGCAGTTTGGTCTCTGTGTAAAATATTCCAAGACTTGATCTTGTGTGAGGGTTTTTCAGTTGCAGCTTTGCAATCTTAATGATGTGTCACCCGAGCCTGAACCGACTTTTGTTTAAAATTTCTTTTTTATATTTCTCATGAACCATTCATCCAAAAAAAAACGTTAGTCACCGCCATACTTCCAGGCAGCTATGATGAAATTTGAACGACAGTAAGAAAGAAAAATTATGCAGTGTTATCTACAGCTTCTCAATATACATCACACACATTCACCGCTAAAGGCAGCCGGCACTGAACCTTTCTCCTTCATCAAATTTTTTGAAGAACATTCTCTCACTAATTCACATTTCTAAAGGTTAGGAAGCGGAAATTACTTCTTAAAGTGTCCTAATCTCATCCTCCTTCTCTGTGAATAAAACCTTGACTCCATCTTTACACCATTTTCTTCATTACTCCATCACTTCTCCATATGGGAGCCCTCCCCCTTTCATAAGAACCCCCCGGGTACTTCAATTATTTCTTCTTAGACACACCCACACTCGGACTTTTCATCATCTCCTTTTTCCACCAAAATTTGTTTGGCACAGAGTCTGTGCAAATTTGAAGATTGCACAACACGCACCTTGAAAAAGTAATAAGTGGGCCACGGAGAGGGTTAAATAATGTGCGGCTGTCAGTGCATCATCTCCCATCATGCAATTAACAGGGTCCAACAACTTTTTTTTGCTATCATAGTGCAAACCACTAGAGATGTTCCTGACACGATTCCGTTATCTGGACTTGGCACATCGGCCGACACAGAGTACCAATCCGATCCATATTCATTTAACATCAAGCTGTATGCTGGAATACACAATACATTGTGTGATGAGTTACCTAATACTTTATTTGGCAACACGAGTGCAACACCCCAAAACTGAAGTCTAGCTTTTGTTACACATCGCTGTTTTACTTGTGGGACTTTCCAGAGGGCAATGTTGTCAACTTGCTGACATTTTAGTTTGCTCTGGCTGATGCTTTACCACCAGAAATCACTTCTTTGCTGCAAAAGTGCTGTTTTGGATTGGCAAAAAAAGAAGAGATTACCAGGAATAGAAAATTGCAGTTTTATCTCGGTGAAACCAATGTACTTCCGAGACAGGGTATTGGATCGGTACATAGATTTGTGTACTTACCTATGCCTGACTCAGCATTTTTGCCAGTATTGAAGACATTCCCAATGCTGGTAATAAAACATCTCTATAAACCAATTTTCAAATACAAAAAGACACAGTCTCACACTTAAGTACTCATGTACACATTCTGTTTGTATTAGAGTGGGAAAATACTGTACATAGCATGGAGGGTAAACAAGTGAGTTTAGACATAAAGAGATACTAAGCTGCCCAGTGCAGATTAGGTTTCAATAGGTTTTTGTGAATAAATGGCATAGATAAGTAACTAAGTACAACCCACTATAAAACTACAGTTCTTGTTTAAAATTCTCACGGTCTTAGATAATGAAAACAATTGAGATGAAATAAGTCAGAGGACACTAAAAGACTCGAAGGTTGAAGAATGCCATCAGGATATCAGGATTGACAGTAATTGATGTCCTTTGTGTTGTCACCTCTCCACAGTGTGCGGGTATGCACGCGTACACAGGCACACATGCCAGGTCTGTAGTGATGGGAGACAAGGAGAGCACTGCACAGGCCATTTAGCGTCAAAGTCATCAGTGCATCATTTAAAACCTGCAATGTTTAATATCTCAGTCTGCTTTTGTTCCTCCTATTGCCCAAGGTCACTCATCTTGGCAGAGTGGGCGTCTGCACGAAGTCCCACCACGCTGCCTCTGATGTCCACTGGTCTCCATCTGTGCCACTCTCGTTCCCCCTCTGTTGGTCTGTTTGATCGTCTTATTAACTCAAAGTATTTTACTCTAATTCACTGCCTTTTTGAAAGAAACATTAACACACACAAACAGCCCTCACTCTTACACACACACACACAACCAGCAAAACAGACAAATCTATTCCCCTACACGTCAATCATTCTCGAGTCATGCATGAAAACAGACGTATACGCACAGAGAATCCTGCTGCTATAAATCGTGTATTTGACACATGTCTTTCAGTAGCTGAACAGCATCTCCAACAGGCAAAATATGAAACTGAAAAACCTGCAACTTTCAAGATAATCTCACTACTCATCTGAACACATTCAAAATACAATGCAGGGGAAAAGATTAGAAAGCAATGTGACAAAGTCAGAAAGCAAAAGACAGGAAGAGAAAACGAGGGCAAACTGCAAAAGTAGCAAAGTTCAGTTTGACCTAAAGTCACCTTGTATCCAGGTGCACACAGCGACTTCATAAAGACAAAACATGGGGCAGGATACTGAATAACTAAGTGTGACGAACAATGAGAAAAACATAAGCTTGCAGAGATGTTGAGCTGAGAACAGTGACAAAACAACTGACAAATGGATTGAGCTGTCAACTTACATCCTGGAAAAGCCGCCTGTCTTGTGCCAGACGTTTGGATGCAAGTGTTTTGGTGACGTGATAGAATGTTAGCAGCGCTCTGTGCTGCTGCAAGCCGTCCTGACCCTTGACGGACTCCAGCAGAATGGGAATGAGCTCTGGCCATTGCCTGGGGCAGTCCAGACGGGCCACCTTGGCTATCAGTACTGCGATCTGTGTCGCTATCTGTTGGAAAAACACAAGAGGGGAGAAAAAGAAATTTACCAGAGGCAAAGCATTAACACAGCAGAAGGTGGTTGTGTCAAAGGAATCTTGATGGTTTTTTTTTTACTAAATCTACAACCTGAAATAAAGTATATTTCAATGACATTTAAAATGAGTGGTATGGACAAAGAGGCAAAATATGTGTACTATTGTACACAAGAGGAACGGAAGTAACAAGTTACATTTACTCTTGTTTTGTGTACTTGTTTTTTTTTTTTTGAGTAATCATTATTTCACACGAAGAATGTTTTAACTTTTACATAATTAAGTAAAACCTTTTGAGAAAACAACAAATGTAAAGAGCCTGTGTCACTGTGGAGGCTGTAATTTGGAGTCATGCTGAACTGTATTACTCTATGCTAAGAAACGTTGCTAATATATTTTCCATGCAATTAATTTCAGTTACAGTAGACATGACATTGGCAACTGTGCAGGATTGTACAAGGCCATAAAAGAAGCACAGTTAATTTGTGAATGATAGTAACAGCAGTTTATAGTGTACTGTATGACATGTTTGATTTGATCTAATATTTTTAGTGATGGCAGTTTCACTTTTAATTATCAAATCCATTAATCAAACCAAATCTAGCCCAGGTTTGAATGTATCAGAAACTTATTGAGTGTTGGCTCTTTTGCTCTTATCATTCAGCTCTTCTATAAGTAATGAGAATGTATTGCATGCTTTGATAAACACACCTATAACACCTTTAACAATCTAATTTAATTACGCAATAAAAACCAGTGAGCATCCCAAGTATCAGTTATGTTTTATAAGAAAAGCTTCAAATTTACACAACTTCAAAAAAAAAAAAAAAAAAACTTTGCTTCAAATATGCAACTTTTAAATGTCAATTGTCCACACACTGGATCACACACATGCATGAACATGCACTTTTGCCTTCTGGAGTTTTGATTCGACAGAGAAGAGGTTCTTGACTGCAGAGACATATGGTGCTGAAATGGCATTCGTCCCTGACCATATGGACTTTATCAGTCCTGATGTTGGTGGGCTGTCCTTTAGGGACATGCAAGCTGTAGAAAGCAGGATGGATGGATGGCCACCATTCAGGGCCACCTCCCGTGTCCACTCAGACAGATGTATTACACTCTGCATGATTTTCTGAGCTATTTCTTATTTGCGGTGTTCTCCCCAGAGCTATAAAATAAATAGCTCATCAAGAAATGTCTTGATCCTTGGATATAATCCCCACATGCACTCCCACTGCCTTAGATTATCTTTTTCAATCTTTTCATTTTATTGTGTTGAATTTCCTAGAAAAAACAGTTTGAACTTACGCAAACAATAGAGCATATTAACTTAATAGCAAACCTACATATTAAACTGAACACTAAATCCAAGTAAAATACCGTTGCCAACTTAAATTTGGTGGCTCCATCATTCATGCTATTACCTCTGCAAAGGAGGTTGATTGCTTGGTTGGTTTGTAAGCAGGATTACAAAAAAACAAGTTAATGGACTTCCACAAAATTTAGTGGAAGGATGGGACATGAGTCAAAAAGGAATGGATTCAAATTTGGTGGGGGCGGAGCCAGTCATTTTATAATCACTTTCTTTAACATTGCAACATTGTGACATTGCTTTTTCACATCTTCACCAAATTCCTACAGAAAAATGCATTGGATCTTGATGAAAAAGATACTTAGGAGTCATACCTATGAGTGTATGCCAAATAAAAATCTACATCTAGCAGATTTAAAGCTGCTGCACACAGTGCACAGTAATACATATTGGTAATGATCTGGATAAAGGGGATCCAGGAATTGTATGCACTACACTGAGTGCCATTCTGGCTCATTTCAGTCTGGCAATATGCAATCAATCACAGTAAAGGAAATTATTTTCCTCTTAACATAAAAGGTGTTATTCCAACACTATTTCATCCTGATTACGCCAGAATACGAGAACGCCCTATGAGCCATGACCTTACGTGTGCAATATAAAAATTGCGGCTCTATCGGAAGAGCACAGGACTTACTTCTTTCAGTGCTTGTGTGTCAGTGCTCTGGCATTAAAATGCAGCTTGGACTGTAAAACAGGATGGTGTGTGTGATGCCTCTATAAAGTATTCAACTGTGCGAACTAGCATCATTAATAAAACCAACTTCCATGCTACTCACGACTGGGATTCTAGATGTGATATACGATACAGCTCTCTTAATGCCAGCATTGTGCACCAAGCCTTTATTACTTTACTAATGGAAATGTTCCTATCCGACAGGGATGTACTGTAATGCATCTATGGTATAGAGCAAAACATTTATTAGCATAAGTCTTGTCTTCCTCCTCTGGCACTAATGGGAGTACAGTGATTTTTATGGCTTTTTAATCTCCTACAGACAAGAATGAAGTCTGCTGTTTATCCTCCCTCTATCTGTGATCAGATCTGTATGTTTGGATAGAACAGCTGGTGTCATCTAAATAAATCTTTTTGCTATTGGAGAAAAAAAAAAGCTTTTGTGACAACAGGTGGTTAAAATAGTGTCAGTGTAGAAAACGCTGCCAGTGTATTATATACCACCTGCCTTCTCACCATGTGCTTAATGAGAATAATTGGGCTTCTACAGGTTCACCCCCTCCTCTCACTTCATCCCTTGAATACACAAGGAGGCAACGTTGGAAAAGGAATCTCGATGGAGTCTTTTCTTCAGAGTGGACTTAACCAAACCAAACCAATCCGTGTGTGTGTGTGTGTGTGTGTGTGTGTGTGTG